TATATATATATATATATTAGTATAGTTATAGTTTGGTTATAGTTCATATAGTATAGTTATAGTTCGGTTAATATAGTATTTAGGGGGCCTTGAAGTAAAAAAAGTTCAGAACTGCTGGGTCTAGAAAGATTTCTGATCTCAAGTGAACTAGTTTAAGATGCTTTAACATCATGAAAACTGTATGAAAGTGTGAGCCTGACAAGTGCACCGTAATTCTCCTTCAGCACTGATGTTTCCATGACCACGTCCATCTGTGAATCATTTGCGTCTGGTATATCGCGTGCAGTGTCTTTAGAGCGGGAAGTGCTAAGATCCTCTTTACCACATTCAGAGGCATTCGCTCTCGCACCCTCCAAAACAAATCAAAGGTTTCCACCGCTACTCTAATATGGGATAACCAGAACTAATCTTTCACATACCCTGCACCCAGCCATTGCACAAATAGTGATTTCTGTTGCCTAATTAAGCAGTTAATTAGCTCGGGTGTCTTGAGTCCTACACCCTGAGATACGCTTGTGGTTTTAAGGATGGAAGTCCCGTTTTGATTGAGTGCTGCTGCTGTGTTGGTCATTACGACTAGCAGCGGTGGATTTGAATTGCTCGAGCAGCTTGAGGAAACCGAGAAGAGATTGAAGGCAGGTAAAATGGGGGGATGTCATTACCTTGCAGGGCAGGTCCTCAGTTTCATCAACCTGGCGAGCGGGGTGGATGGTTCATAATGTTCCTTCCCACCGAGTGAACCCATATTAAGCACCAGGGTAGAGTGTGCTAAAGCTGTCTCGTTTATCCATCTCTTCTTCGCTTTCAAGCCTTCTAACCAATCCCTTGATGCCATGTTGGTTGCTGTCACCTCATGGGAAGCGCAAATAAACATTCTGACTGGGATAAGAAGGTCAGATACATTATAAATTGATTTAAGGGCATAGTTTAATTTACAAATTGGCTTGAAAGTTCCCTCACTGAATTTTGGCCCACTGTGTTGATGTTTTTCCAAGCGATATGGGGTGTCACGAAAACATGCTTTGGCCAAAAATCCACAGGGATCTGCAGAAATATTGCAAACCTCTTGAACATTGTTTGCGAACCCTTTAACCACAACCATGAATCAGGGTTGTTGTTGCTTTGTCCCCCATCTGTGTGGTCAATGCAGTTTCGTGCGAATGACTTTCTTCTAGACCTGGTCATATCAGGTCACATCCTCCTCCAGACTTGGATATCCCGATCCAAAACCTTCTGACACAGTCTGTCTAGCATGTGGGTCTTCTGGTATGCAAGAGGTGTCCCGTTCTTTGCATGTGCTATTTTCTGCCAGGCCCCAGAGAAAAGGAACAAACTGAAAAGGAATGGCAGGGCTCTTTCTTCCTCTCGGGGCAAAAACAGATGAGAGAGAAAGAGAAACAAGGCCAGAGAAGTCCATGGTGGTGTGGTCAGCCTGGGCTGGCTGGCTGCCTGTCTGGGTCTAAGGACTCCTCTATTCCCCGGTGGTCTCTGGCTCAGAAGCTCAGTCGTATTCAGCAGCTAAACCACACTTGCTCCGGGCCAGACTCGACTCACATCAGTGATCCACATTCAACCTCTGGGAAATCAATTGTCTCAGTGCTTATGCTCATATGCCATGGATTTAACTCACAGTGTGTACATACTGTATTAACACAAAGCATTCAATTATCATTCTATGCACATTTGATTCAAACCAAAATAGTTTTTGAATTTTAAGAGTGAGTAAATGTACTTTGTTTGCCTAGTCAATGTGGACATCATATTCAATTTTATGCAAGTAAAAAGAAGAAGGGAAGTAAACTTTTGTTTGTTTCAGAAATCACCTCTACTTTAAGCTCTGCCTTAAAAACGTTACTGACAAATTAGCAACTGTTGTCAGTCGCCATTTTCTCAACTGCTTTTTTTTTTTTTTAAATGTAAATCTATAGACAGTCTTTGTGTTTGGATAGTTTTAAAGGCAAGTTTACAAAAATTATCCAGTAATACTGCAATAGTGTTGCAGAGTCAGTTATAAGGTATTTGAGTTAGCAACAGTAATTGAGGCAGAGCTTAGTGGAACGTCAATTAAAGGGATAGTTTACCCAAAAATGGAAATTCTGTCATTAATTACTCACCCTCATGTCATTCCAAACCTGTAAGATCTTCGTTCATTTTAGGAACGCAAATTAAGATATTTTTGATGAAATCTGAGCGCTTTCTGACCCAGACAGCAATGCAACTACTACGTTCAACGCCCAGAAACGTAGTAAGGACATCGATAAAAGTCCATGTGACATCAGTGGTTCAACCTTCATTTTATGAAGCTATGAGAATACGTGTTGTGCAGAAAAAAAGGACTTTATTCAACAGTTTCCATTACTCCAGTCTCCAGTATCACATGATCCCTAAGGAATCATTCTAATATGTTGATTTAGTCATATGTTGATTATCAATGTTGAAAACAGCTGTGCTGCCTAATATTTTTCTGGATATATGTTTTTCAGGATTCTTTGATAAATAGAGAGTTCAAAAGTGCAGCATTTATTTGAAATAGAAATCTTTTGTAGCATTTAAAATCTTTTACTTTCACCTTTGTTCAATTTAATGCATTCTCACAGAATAAAAAAAAGAAGAACCTTTTGAATGGTACTCCAGGGTATTGCTAAGTGGCTTTCACAATGGAAAAAATAATGCAATTTTTCCTTCCAGAACCCTATTTTTAAACCCCATTGGATAAAGATAAATATAGGAAAAAACATTATTGTTTGAGATTAAACCCCAATAAAGGGGGCAAATCTGTCATACGACAGCATAATTCACAACAATGTAAGAGACTGCATTCTTGCAAAGCTTAAATCATTGTTAAGCGTGCCTCCAGGCCCTTGCCTCCTCCTTAACTGGTGTGAACACAAATACACTGGTGTTAAGAGAGTCTGCCGTAGCACGTCTGGCACGATGGGATCACTTCCTTCTGTAGACTGGGCACCCACTGTCAGCTCGACCCCGGATAATTAACCTCTGCCACTGGAGTTCAACAAGACAACAATCCCACAGAGCTCTGTGTGTATGCTAGCGTGACTGTGTGTGCCCCGTCTACAGGTGCATGTGAGGGTGTTAAGTGTCATCCTTCTCGTCATCTGCAGGCATGGGGCAGGGTAATGGAGAAGGCTAGGAACACATGCCCAGTGCTTCGGACGGCGTAGCAGGTGGCTGAAAGTGGGTCGCGCGAGGCTGGGTCTTTGACTGGGGTGACTAGGTTAATTAAGGGGTGAGTCTTCAGGGCCTGGGGGGCCCCAGGGCAGGCGGTTGGGGGGTTTTGGGGAAGGGTTGATCGAGTGCAGAAAGAGGCCATGCCACTCACCCGCTCCGCTTCCTGTGGGGTATCTGTGCCTCTCTTCACGAGCGGACCTCTGGATTCATAAACTCGCACAAACTCATGCACACGTGTAGCACATATGTTCTTTGGGACCTGAAGGAAGTGTTTTTTAACTGAGTGTGTTGTTTCTCTAGAGCTCACGGTTGTGAAAATGCAGCTGTGCAAATCCACATCGAACCGAAAAAACAACAGGCATTGAGTTAAGCGCGTCTGATTAGTAAAAAGTCTGATTGTGAAATGAGTCTTGATGTCAGGTACAGAAGATCTGTAAGCTATTATTATGTAAGAGTCTGGGTCTCAGGGAGGCAGTGAAGTTTGGCAGGTATCATAAAACAGAAATTGAACGTGACCTTTTGTGTGTTCAAAAGATGAAGAGGAGGATGAAGAGGTCACAGAAACGAAAGCTGGCCCAGAAAATGACCTGCAGGAGGAGGAAGAAAGCAAGGACACAAAGGAAGGTAAGAGCTAATTCTTACAAAACCTGCCTTTGAGAATATTCAGGGGAAATTATAGAAAGACAGAAATGATACTTACATAAGCAAAATGGTTTTTAATAATAATGATAGTAATAATAATATTTATTTATTATGTTTTATATAATTTTAAATTATTCATATTAATAAAACCATTACAAGTATTACTACATTATATTATTATATTTTTTCTTTTCTTATATTTTCTTATTAGAAAACACTGTTTTTATGCCCTAATGCTGCAACATGCCCTAACTATCAAATAGTATATTATATTATATTATATTATATTAGTTTTATATTATTTTATAGTATAGTATATCATGGTATAGTATAGAATAGTACAGTACAGTATAGTATAAATATAGTATATTATATTGTCAGAAAGCACTGTATTTTATGTTCTAATGCTATAACATGTCAGAGCTAGAGCTATATATTATATTGTTTAAAAATATACTAAATTAGGTATTTTTTATTGTATTATAGTGTTAAAATTAGTCTGCTGTATTTAAAAGGATTGTTATAAAAAACTATATAAGTCTATGACATATCCCAATTTAGATCGCAAGATGTGTGTGTGAAGGTGTTCCAAAGGTTGTGCTCTGTTAAAAAACATATTCTCTACACCTACTGCCTCCACCTGGCTCAAATTTAGCACGTTTGACTTCTGTATGTTGGATGTTACACGGAACAACATCTGCTTAGTTCAGACTCAACAAGAGAGACGTCTCTTTACAGTAAAGCCTGACGTTGAGGTGCATGTTCTGCACACATGCTCCATAAGTACTAATAGAAACCATAACAGATCTGTAAATAAATTACCCACACTGACTAAAATGGCATTCAATCAGGCTGTTCCACAAGGGCAATCCCTTCTGTGTTGGCATAGCTGGGATTTTATTGTCGCCTTCTTTTGATGTTTCAAAGGGAAATGCATCCCGTTAGTGGTTAATAAGCCATGGGTGGAGTGACATGACATTGAGGGGTTTATTAACATGACGTAGCACCTCTAATAATTTGCCGTGTGATTTACAGCTTGTGCTGTTATGCAAGTCATTCGGCGTAAAACCTTCTGCCAGTGAAGTAATGTGTCTATCTTACAATTACAGTACAGTCAGCATTTAAAACTATGATGCAAACATTTCCGCTACTGTACAAGTCACATTTTTCCTACCTGTGCTGCTTTAGTAGTTTGTGTTTGGGCCTCGCACACGTCAAAATTCCCAAAGTCACCAAACAGGATCAACAGAGCGTTGAGTGGCTACTCGCGTGTGACCCTTCCAGCCGTATCAGATGGCATTCTCGCCGGTTGGGGGCTGGGCTTATCGGGCCACGGCATTCTGGGTCAGGCCTGATCAAACTTTAATGTCACTAGACCCCAGCAAGTGGACTTCAAAGCGAGCGGAGAGTGCATTCTTTGTGCAAGTGTACAGGGTAAATAACTAGAGAGAGGCCGGACAGAGGCAGACTGTGAAAGCGCACGAGGGCTTTGACTCCACGCTGACTTTGATCATGTTTTTGTCTTCCTTATGAGTCATCAGAAAAGGAACGCAAATCAAGTGGGCTCAGATCAAAGGGACGGGCCCCTAATAGTCTGGGAGAAAATGGAGAAACGCAATAACATCAAAAACGGAGGAGAAAAACTGGGCTTGTTGTCATTATGGAGAGACAAACTAAGAGCGGTGTGTGTGCTGTGTTCGCTAATGTATTTGCTTATTCATTTATTGTTTGTTTGTCTGTCATTTTTACGCCCATATCTCCCTTCTAATTGGCTTAACTACCTTCAAGGCTTGTTGGGAGTCAGGAAAAAGAATGCGGGCGAGTTTGTTTAGGTTCAGTTTGTACAGTTACTGTTCAGCGTTATGCCGTATGGCCATGATTTTGTCTGTGGTTAAATCCGTTTGTTAGTGTTATTGTATGTAAGTGGTAGGTATAAACACATAGCCCATCTTTGCGGCCAAGATGCTTTTGTGTGTTTGTGTATTAAAACGTATGGCCTGTTCTGTGTTTATTTACTCGGCAGCTGTGTTTACATCTTCATTTTGTTGTGTTTTGTCTTGTGTGTGTATCAGGCCACCCGCGGGAGCTGACGGAGGAAGAGAAACAGCAGGTTTTGCACTCGGAGGAGTTCCTCATCTTCTTCGACCGCAGTATTCGTGTGATAGAAAGAGCTTTAGCTGAGGACTCCAACATCTTCTTCGACTACAGCGGACGTGACCTGGAGGATAAAGAGAAAGTGATGCGTAACAAGATGATTTCTAAGTTATATATGAAGTATTTTATCTATTTATTATTTAGTTTATTTTTATATTTTATTTCAATATTAAAGTGATAGTTAACCCAAACATGAAAATGTTGTCATCATTTACTCACAATCATGTTGTTCCAAACCTGTATAAGTTTCTTTCTTATGTTGAACATAAAAGAAGATATTTTGAAGAATGCTGGTAATCGAACAGTTGAAGGTCCCCATTGACTTCCATAGTATTTCTTTCCCTAACTATGGAAGTTAATGGTTTGGTTCTTCAAAATTATTCAAAATAACTTCATTTTTGTTCAACATAATAAAGAAACCTATACAGGTTTGGAACGACATGAGGGTGAGTAAATGATGACAAAATTTAAAAAATAAATAAATTCAAAAAATTCAAAAGTCATAAATTAGAAATGGTTAATTACTAATGGTTATATTATTGCAAATTTGATTGTTGTGAAATGAAATTTATGTGAAAAAGTGGACCACAATGACATCCATGGTAATTAATCTACATGAAATGAAACCCAAAACACAAATTGTAGTTACACAATATAAACTGCTTAAATCATCTGGATTTCATTTGCATATTATGTAAATTTAATATTTACATAATATAATTTTCAAGCAATGGATGTATAGGTTGCTCCAGTGTTTTATGCTCTGTCATAAAAGCCTGTTAAAATTATCACATTTTTAAAAATAAATTTATAGTGAATTTTCAATCTTTTGCAGTACCTAGTAATGTAAATGTAACAAAAATAGGAAGGGTCAGTGTTAGTCTGTAGTATTTATAATTAGGCTGATATAAAAACAATAGAAGACTATAGTATGCTCTTAATGAGCGAAGTGTGTGTGTGTGTGTGTGTGTGTGTGTGTGTGTGTGCGTGCATTGTTCTTCTAAGAAATTCTTGCAAAATGATGTCACATCCATTAACAACCTCTAATTTTGCTCTTCTGTATTGATATTATAAACACTGTTATTTTTCTGTGCATTTGTTTTTAATTTACATATTTCGAATTTTTTATATATATGGATAAAAATGTGTATAAAAATGTTGTATTAAAACTGTTTCTTTCTATCTATCTATCTATCTATCTATCTATCATCTGTCTGACTGACTGACTGACTGTCTGTCTGTCTGTCTGTCTATCTATTATCTGCTTTAATTTTCTGTTGTATATGGTAAAGTGTGTATTAAAACCCCAGAGCCAATGTTAATAAGATTATCTCCCTGTCAGAGATCTGCAGGGTGGCTCCAGTCTCTCTTTCAATCGTCTGTTCTATGATGAGCACTGGTCAAAGCATCGGGTCATCACCTGTCTGGACTGGTCCCCTCAGGTAGACTGACCTCCCTCTCTGACCTCCTGTATGTGTCAGCACCTGTTCATTTAAAAGGGAGAATCCTCCCATTCTTTGTCTCTGAGTCAGCTTTATCATCCTCTTCTCTGTTCTCGCTCATCTTTCTCCTGCCTTTACTCTCTTCTCTTCATATTTCCAGTACCCTGAGCTCTTGGTGGCCTCCTACAACAATAATGAAGACGCTCCTCATGAGCCAGACGGTGTGGCTTTGGTGTGGAATATGAAATTCAAGAAGACCACACAATGTGTACATCTACCACTGCCAGGTGAAAACCCTTAACACAAAACAACTTTACACCCTTACCCTCCAAAAATAACATCACACTGATTATTAAGGGAGCGAAAATTGTGCAGGAAAATGTTAAAAAGATGAAATTGTGTGAAAATGTGATCATTTACTCACCCACATGTCATTCCCAACCTGTATGAGTTTTAACTCTGCAGAACTTGAAAGAACATATTTAGAAGAATGTTGGTAACCAAAGAGTTGCTGGCAGCCATTGACTTCCATAGTATTTTTTTCTCAATGGCCAGCTATGGCTACCAGTTTGGTTACCAGCATTCTTCAAAATACCTTTTGTGTTCAACAGAAGAAAGAAACTCACACAGGTTTGTAACTTAAAGGTAAATAAATTATGACAGAATTTTCATTTTTGGGTGACCTGTCCCTTTAAGACATTGTAAACAAATTTGGGTTTAACTATTTATTTTAGTTTTTAAAGTTTTAACTTTTCGCTGAGTTAAAAATACATTTATTGTTGAGTTTATTGTTACATACTGAATGCTATATTGCATAGTATTTAAAAAATTGTAGGCAGCATGTAGTACTTACAATGCAGTAAGCATCTCACTAGTATCCTATTCCAAAAATACCAGTAGTATTCCAAGCACTTCACAATAAAATTATAATAAAACGACCTAATTGGAAAGCCATGATAAAGGAAGTTGTAGCTTCAATAAAAGGGAGATCTAATGGAGCATACCACTTCAGATGACGAAATGCATTTAAATGAGCCTAAGGTGATTTAATTAAAGGTACATGCTGGCCTTGGAGTACCGCAGCGGAACAGAACACCTTATTACGGTGTGTGTCCGCTTGGGTCAGGCCAAAATAATCCTGAGGTTTGTGTATAAAACATATCTGGTGTCGGTTTTGACGCTAATTATAAAAGACTCTGGGTTGAGAGTCTTTTAAGGGAGACGACCAAGTAAGCGAGTCTGGGAGGCGACAGCCTGGTGCGAGGGAGAGATATTAGAGAGACATTTCTGTAATAAAAAGATGTGGCTTACCACTTCCTAATCCTACCAGCCGCATATGTTTGCCCACCCACATGGTCTGCTCGTGCATGTGCTGCTTTTCCAGTGCCCAGCACCTCTCACATGCACACAGACGGATACACATACACATGCTTGTTTACACACACAGTTATAACCAAAGCATACTCAGACATGCCATATTGCAAATGCTTAAAAACATCAGACTTTCGTATTACACAACTTTTTTAATTGCCTTTTTAATCTTTTTTTGATTAAAACTCATTTTCAATTCTATCAATTCAAATATAATTTTGAGGACGTCTTGTATATAGTATGAGACGTTTATGGCCACTGGTTTAAAAATTGTTTGTAAAATTTCTGTTTCAGTTCTGTTTCATGGTTTCATATTAAGAACATTTTTCTTGGTAGATAATTTTTTATTTGGCTCTTTATTTTACAATCGGGGTAAAATTCACTCTTAAAGAACTTTTTCAAATTTTTATATATTTTTTTAGAAAAATAAAACATTAAATAAACATTAATGTTAACGACCCTGCAAATTTAGCCTAAATTCAGCTGTTGCTGAGTAAGGGATAAAGGGGTAGTTTGGGACCAAATGCCTGTTTGTAGTTGTTAAATTTATTTCTAATAAATTAAAGACATCAGTATTTCTTGCAATGAATTTGGGTGACAGTATTTAATGGTCAGCACTACAATTTGTGTAAAAATGTAAAAGGAAAAAAAGGAAGTAGGTTATTATACATTTGTCTTCCCAGGATGCTTCCAAATTATGTTATTTCTTGGGAGTCACAATGTAACTGTACATATTGTGTAGCAGGAATTTAATGTAACACTTGCTACTTTTCATCCTAGACCAATTTTATCTAGTTTATATATAATAGTTTTCACAACAAATAAGACTAAAATAAACTGTATTTTATAGAAAGTGCCTTGTATTTTTGATTGTGTTGTCACACAGGAGCATAAATGAAGACTCCCTTTGACCTGTCTCACTCTGTCCTTTTCTTCTCTACAGCTCAGTGCTACAAAAAGATGGGATGTATTGAAAGCATATATACAATAAAAACGTAAGATGAATAACACACAATGGCATTTCACAGCTTTCCTTCAGAGTGGCCTGAGGTTCAACCATCCTTTTTTCATCACGAGGAGAGAAATGGTGAGAGAAGCACAGGATCTCCAAACATTTGGCCGTTGGCTGAGGATGAAAGAGGTTGGGCCAATTTGCCGAGATATTGTTTTTCGCTCTGGGCTCTGTTCTAAACGGCGGTGCTCCCCACTCACTAGACCGGGAATCTTATGGATCTTAATGTGCGAGCATGTTCTGCCGCTTAACCTCCCGAAACCACACTGATCTTATTCCCTCTGAGGTACACGCATGCAAGAGCCATATACTCATCCCCCACACGCTCCTCTCCTCTCTTCTTCTCCCCTCCTATTCTCCCTTTGCGGCTTCCCTCACTTTTGGCAGGCCATGCGGCGGAGTTCAGCAGTTTTGCAGTCATTTTTCCAGATTTACCCACAGCCGCCACTTTCATGTGCTGGATACTTCAGAAACCCTCCCTCCAGCGCCGGTGTCTCCCACTTTTCCCTCAGTTTCTCTTTTTGCTGTTCCATCTTTACCTCTTTTTGCCACATCTCTCTCTCTCTTATACTCCTTCTGACACTCTAGCTCTGTTCCAAAGCCTAGTGAGCTGACTCGCTGTCTACTTAGGCAGGTTCCTAGCCATTATGGAATCTCATAAGTGAACGTACTATATACGCAGCACCTCCAAACACCACATAAATAACACTTATCATGGGAAACGTGACTCACAATTTATTTCAATAGAGTTTTCCATTAGCATGTCACTAAGCTTACAGAGTGATTCTCTAATAAGCATTAAAAATCATAGTTTTATTTGTAGATTTTTATTTTAAGATTTAAGATTGCCTTCAGCTCAGAGTTTGGGGTCGGTAGGATTTATTATTATTTTTTAATGTTTTCAGACATTTCAAAATGAAACATTTCGACAAGTCTTTTATGCTCATCTTTGGCTGCATTTATTTAATAAAAAATACAACAAAACAGCAATATTGTGAAATATTATTACAATTTAAAATAACTTTTTTTCTGTTTTAATATATTTTAAAAGATAATTTATTACTGTGATGGCAAAGGTGAATTTTCAGCAGCAGTTACTCCAGTCTACAGTGTCACATGATCTTATAATCATAATCATCAGAAATCATTATAATATACTGATTTGGTGATCAAGAAATATTTCTTACTATTATCAATATTGAAAGCAGTTGTGCTGCTTAATATCTTTAGTATAAACCATGATACATT